AAGAAAATACTAAGGATAGGTTGGATGGGGCTTTGAGCAGCCTGGTCTAGTGGAATGTATCCCTGCCCATGGTAGGGGGTTGGAACTAGATGATCTTTAAAGTTCCTTCCCACACAAACCATTCTGTGATTCTATGAAAATGTGTGCATTTTCCTATTACTACATACCAGCAATTGCCTCTCACTGTTTTCTTGGGGCAAGGAGTTCTGCAGATTAATTCCATATACAGCATTGTCTTCATATATTTTCCTCATTTTCTGATTATGCACATTCTTTCCTAAGGTAGAAAGAATGAAGTGTTCTCCTGCTATCATATATTATTTTTAAAAGTCAAAGTCTTCCCAGTTACTCCTACCAGTCAGCTTTTCCAGTTCATATTTATACACACATACAAGAACATCTAAATAATCATGTCAGTATTTCCTCTCTTGGCATCTTGATTGTCTGTATGCTGTTTCGGAAGGTATAAAGAGAAACAATTAACTATGCAAAAACTGTAGGATACTACAACTTAGATCAAAAGTAATGATAATTTTGGGGGACTTTTGCCTGCCATTCCACATATAAACCATATTTTAGGGAATTGTACAAGTAATACATATACTTCTTCACAACAGAAAGAGTTTATTTATAATTGGTTACGGCAAGTTTTTTAGTGGTTAATAAACATTTTCCCAAACAAAACCCTCCCTTGTATATATATTTTGAAAAACAAATAAATTTATGTTCAAGTTTCACCACCTCATGATTGAGGCATTTGCCATGTAGTCATCTACACTATTGCCATTTTCCATTTTATCAAGAGAGCACAAGGCAGTGCAAGGTACTGCAAGGCTTTATAAAAGTATTCCTTTATAAGTAAAATATACTTGGGTTTCACCTAGTTCCTCATCAAAGCAGAAATCATCGAGCTCAGATGTTGCAAGGCTACAAAAATCCCCAAGTCTAAGATAATAGTCTGCCCCTTCTCAGTTCCCAGACTCCTTAGAAAACTAAGGAGAAATCAAACTGAGTTTAAGCATCACAAATTCCTGAGCAAAAACATTGTCTGTGTGGATATACAAAAGAAAACTGGTTTAAACCCAGGAACAGATACCTGAAAAGCAAACCACTTTTAAAAACTATTTATAAAGCTGCACAATTACTGAAATATCTACTACAAAGCAGTAACTATAAAGATATTACAATAGCTGAAAAGGAAAAACCCAGCCTGGTTTACACACTTGTCAGCTCCAGTTAGCTGCACTCATTCCTTGAAATAGTTTTTACCCTGTGCCATTCTTTGGAATCTCTGTTCTACAAAACAAGAGGGAAAGCTTCTACAAACCACAGAAGTTTTTTGCGACAGAAGTACACAGAAGTCAGCACTCTTAATAAAAGGTCTCAAAGGTGGCTTGTTGGAGAGATTTAATAAATGCCTTTTTTTTTTTTTACAAATGTCATGGCTCATTCATAGGCCTGCAACAGACTAATACACAACTGATTCATGAGCTTGTATCAGTTACACATCAATTACGCTTATGTCTGCAGTATGTAACAAAACTCCTTTGTCTGACCTGTCAAAAATAATGATTTTTTAAGTCTTTTTAATAGCTTTTGTCTGGGAAATTTAAAATGACAGCACAAACAAACTGATGGTAAAAAAAAAAAAAAAAAAAGTTGCAAAGTAACATATTAAGAGTCTATCTGGAAGCTTTCCAAACAATTAATTCTTACAAATATTTCAGTTGTTGCCTAGGACTTATCTACTTATATATTCATGTCAATCAAACTGAGTTCACACCCTCTTTCAAGCCCTAGCCACCAAGTAATAATGCTGTGAGTAATCTTTGCATCAGACAGTAAATCCCATGTTGATAAAGAAACTTCAGCCTTGACCTTTGCAACAGAGAGAACAGACAACAGACGAACAGAAGTCACAAGTCATGCTAATGATACTATTCATTTACAGCGAATTCCTGGAGGTTCAGGCATCCTGGAGAGGGAAGACTTTGTTTTAAAGAGGTCATTTGGAGAAATACATGACAAAACTCCAGGCTCTGCAACAAATTTTGTAAAAGCAATTAGATGTTGACCATTTTCACACAAATGGTCAAACCTGCCCCCAGTAGCCCAAGGGTAGTTACAAATCCTACCCAGCCCAGAGGCTGTCCAATGGACTAAAAAAATGATCTTTTGTATGTGACCAGATTACTGAAACCTGCACAGCAATGCTAAGAATAGAGAAATGCAGTTGTTATGTTGTCTCAGGAAAGGTCATTTCTTGGTTAAGGAATGACCAACAGGAGGATGCTAGATTTCTGAAGTCGTATGAAAATAGACTTCCCTTTTTGAGAGCATGTGTTTTATATGAATTTATTAATCCCCAAGTCTCTAGAGAAATGTATAAATAATATATTCAGTTTGCAGTCAGTCGGTTATCACCTAGATTTTCCTTAATTTTTAATTCAATATTAAAGAAAAAAAGAGCTAGAGATACTCTTTTTCTGAAGAAGCATCTTTTTCTGTTTCAATGGCAATTGCATCAACACAATTCACTATCTCCAAAGGTCAGGTCACACACATGTCAAGTTGGGTATCTCGCAACATATGAGATATATGAAGAGAGTGGACATTTCTGACTTCTGCACACATTCATTCCCAGATCCCATAGGAAAGCAGAAGGAGAGGTATATGTATCACTTGTGAACTTCAAAACCTTCTTCTCCTCTAACTCAGAGACAAATGAAACCAGCAAATCAGGTATTTGCCATTTTAACTGATCAGACTGGCAGATATGTAATGTAGATCTCTGGCGTGACAGGACCACCTCAGGGAAACAAATATGCATAACTCTTTAATTCAGCCATTAAACTATTTATTTACACCTACCCTACTCCCAGACTTGGTTTCTACCAGAAAGGACAGAAGTGGGAAAACATTCATTATTTCCAGAAGTCATCAGATGTTTTCCAAATATCACTCCCTGCCAGAGCATGGCTGAGTCATAACAAGTGGGGATGTGAAAGCACAGATTCTTGTTTCTAATATTCTTTTTCCAGTTCCTATATTGACCATGGCATCTTAATGAGAAATGCAGCAAAACTTTTAAGATTTTCAAACTTAACCCAGTTTGCAAGCATCTAAAGAATGTATCTGCAATATTACTTACTTTTCTCTGTCTAATTAAAAGCACTCCAGGTTTGACAGTATTCTTTCAGCTCACTTTAGACACTAGACAAGTCTGAAATCAAATTGAATGATTTCATAGCACAAGGCAAAGCTGTTGACAGTGGATTTGGAAACAGAAGCAGAACCTGAGCATAAATTAACCACCAAACTTAGAAGAACTGCAGCTAAAACTAACCTTTTCCTTTAACTCATATTTAAGATTCCTCTGATGGCGTGGCAGAAGCCAAGACAAGCCTCTCTCAAGGGTGTTACATGTTAGATAGGACCCTGGTTCCAAATCATTATTACTCCAATTATGTTTTGCAGTTATGCTGCCTCACTGTTTGCAGGCAAGCCTTTAGTGCAATTAATGGGCCTCCACTTTTTCTTCTTCTGTTAGATCACCCAATATAAATTTACTATGCTTCCTGCTTAGATTAGCAATGGGTATTTGTGGATATGCAAATGAAGCATTCTTCGGTCTGGCATGCTGTTTTCTCACACTAGGCTCACCATCTTGTCTGGGATATCAAGGCAATTGCCAACTGATTCCTCCCTTGCCAGGGGGCATGATTTGCATGACGTATTCTCTCGTGACTGCAGTATGAACACTTTTTAAACACATATTGGGGATTATAACCCATGGAGCATTTGATTGGTTGCCATGTTTGAGAGAAACTCTGAATAACATTTTTAATACAGCTCTGGCTGACTAGGCTTCTAAGAATCTCGATTTCCTGCCATTTTTAGCAGTTCTAAAGGCTCAAATCAACATAGGTATTTGGCAGCTAAACAATACACGTGTTTCAGGAGGAGGCAGCTACTGACACAAACAAAACCACCCCAACCACACACAGCTTGTTTGATTTTAAGTAACTTATTAAAGCTCCAGTCGCACCATCTGTAGTAAGTCTTTCAGCTGGTGACCTGATGATCTCTTTGCTTTTCCATTTACTATTACCTGGGTTTGAGAAGTTTAAATTATCAGAGAACAGGTAAAGAATATTTCTACTGACCACTAACATACATCTCAGCTTTACAGTAAAAAGATACGATATGCTGCATTTATACAAAACTCTTCTGTGTGTGTTTAACTGAATTGTTCTCATTTCTGTCACCCTTAAGACCACCTCCTTGACTTTTCCCCCACAGAAAGCAGATCACAGTTGACTGTAGATGTCCAGTACCAGGTTTTGCCTCTTCCTGCACCTGTTATTTTGTTTCATGCATATATTTTTTCATTTCCTCCTCTCACAAACAAACAATAAATTCAGTAGTCACAACCTTAACCTTATCAGTTATTACAGAACTTTCCAGTTTCACAGTAGTTTAACAAATTGATGTCAGTTCTGACGAAATTTGTCCCTACCCTCAGCCACCTTTCCAAGTATTTCTGATTAATGCAATGGTTAAGACACTTCTAAAGCTACACCTCCCCAGCAGGTTCCCACTCCCCTTCTTACATAATGAATACAAGCCCATTATGAGAAAACAATTGTGAAAATTAATTTCATTCCAAAATTACAAACTGTGCCCTGCTCAAATTCTTTTGCAGATTTACATTTCTCTTGTTCCATAATAACACATGAGAATAAACGAAACTGTTCACAGACCCATTAATTGCTAACATATTGTTTAGAGCAGGAAGCAAATGCAGTAAGCATTAAGTTCTCAAAGCATCCTCCCTGCATGGTAAAATCAGCCTCATTTTATAGATGATGGCAATTATATTGTAGAAAGAATATATATTAGTTTTTAAACAGAAAGCCCTCTATCAAGGCCTACATTTCCTAGTTGTTAGACTCATATTTAATTTATGAAACCTGACCTTCCTCATTCAAAAATCTTACCTGGCATCTCCTTTTGAAAGGTTGGTGTTTACAGGATGAAGAATAACCTTGTTTGCATCCACATCCACCACACATTTTGTATGCAGATCAAGCTCTATAAAGAAATGAGAAAGTGTCAAGTGCTACTGCTAAAGCACCAGGATTACATACACCATTACTTCCTCCAGACACCAAATTTATTCATGCAGTCTGACAGCCACCCATCAGCTAGAGAATAGAAACAGGACTATTGCCAAATTCTGCTTCTAGAGATATTCTGATGGGATGGATCCTTTCCAGCTTTAAAGCATGCACTCCTTTCAAAACAAGAAAAAGCACTTTGGTTTTACTGAAGTACAATCAACATATACAAGGCAGTATGAAATTTCTTCTAGGGAAAGAACCATTAGGCATGGTATCACTTTGACAGCTCTTCTTATTGCTCCCTCAGTGCCTCACACATTCAGAGGGAAAGCTGCCCCTACCATCTGCAGCACATTTTCCCTAGCCACTGTTGTGATACTGCAGCATACCATGTCAGCTGTCAGTCCGGGGGCACCTGCTTGGAGAAATTCAAGTCCCATAAAAAAAAATGTAGGTGCAACCATGTAGAAAAGAGCTTATCCTTCCCCACAGGCTCACAGCCAGCTGAAAAGCCCAACTTTTCCCCATGACATTAAGCAATGGGATATATGCTATGAGTAATTAGAATATTTGGAATGTATGAGAATTCTGAGCCATAGAGGTGGAGAAAACAAAAGCTTCAGATAACACCCAATGACAAATGGAGTTAGGTATAAAAAAAGCACACAGCCGCTTGCAGTCAAAGTCACTGCCTACAGACGTAGAGGCCTGGACACAAACAAGTCTAGTCCTATGTCCTTACACTCTGATGCTAAACCTGGAAAGTGCACCCAAGAGCATACCTATGAGACATGACACACTGACACACCCATCAAGCACTGTGCACCGCCCTCACACACCATGATGATGAGGGGCTACACTGAATAACCTCCATGCAGTACAGCACCTCAGCTGAATCACCAAAATATCCTGTGTAATCATGTTAATGACAATCCTCATCCTCCTTCATCTCTGCTCTTTCCTTCTCTGTCACCTGTACTTGCTCTTTCACCTTACAGCACCTTATAAACTCGGACTGAAAATCTCTCGGGCAAAGACCGCAGATCTTAATTATTGTACAGCACCTTGCAGACTTCTTGCTACTGTGAAATAACATGGTAAGAGGAGATTTCTTTCACTGACATTTTTGGAAAGAACAGCCAAAGCTTAAGACTCTTAACGGTTGGACTCAATGACCTTTTGCAACCTAAATGATTATATGATTCCTGGTCATAGCAGGCAGTCACATGAAACCGAAATCCATCTGAACTAAACCACTCCTATGTTACTAAACTGTATTTTTGTAGAAGGAAGAGGCAGACAAGTTTCAGAAACCAGTGTTTACTTTAATTTCTCTCCACACCCTGAAAGAAAATTTACCTATCATTAATATGCAATACGTGCTTGCTCAGATGAAATTATATTCTTTATACATCCCATATCCAACAAGTCACTTTATCTTGGACTGGCTGGTTAGTGATTAACATTCTGTATTGCAGTGACCTGCTTTTCCTCAGCAACTAAAGAAGGTTTTTACACGCTACCTCCCTTATGCAAAGCATAAGGTATGTATACTGTCTATATAAGCAGCATGGTCTCTATCACATTTTTCAATCTATCTCTTGAAAAAGAACGCTGCTGGCAGGTTTCACATCTATGACTGCCCAGTGATCTCAATGTGGTATTCATTAAACCTCTCTTTGTGAAGTACCTTTAAGGAAAGCACACAGACAGGATATAATAGCTCCTCAAAGTTATACACCCTCACAGAGAAAAAGAAAGATTCAAAGACAATTTATCATGTACAACACACCTTCTCTGATTATTGTCATCACAAAGGTGAGGTTAAAATTCCTCACCCAGGCATTCTGCAGACAGCATGGTTTCAGAAGACGTGGTGAGCCAACCTAACAGCTATTGCCAAACAGGGAGGTCTCAGTCTTTCCTTCTGGCTACCTCTCCCTGTTGCTCACCTTCCACCCTACTGTGCTGAGCACACTCCTCTGTAAGTCACTTCAAGTTACTTAAAACAGTAGAAAACTAACCAACAAGAAAAACTGATGTATTTGGAAACTATGGAAAGCTACATCAGCCCAGTAAAAGCTCTGAGAACATCAAAGGCCACGCAAACAAGTGGGTAGGCCTGTACGGAGATGAAGATAGCAGGCAGAAGACTGAGACCTTCTCCCAGCAGAAACCAACTGCTACATCAGGTCATGGCATCCCATGAAATAAACCCTTAAGAAATAGATATATTCAGCCTCTAAGCAGGGTTATATATCTAGATAGCCATAAGGACACTTATCCCAGTTACCTTGGCAAAAGACTTGAACAGAAACTCTTTCTAGCTGAAGAAATAGTTTAAATTCTGTTTTAATAGCACATTGTACACTTTCTGGCTCCATTATAACACATGTTCTTTGACCAATTTGAGCTGAAAGAGGGGAGGATTTAGACAAGATATGAGAAAGATCTTCTCTGTGAAGGTGGGGAGGCACTGGCAGAGGTTGCCCAGAGAAGCTGCGGCTTCCCCATCCCTGGCAGTGTTCAAGGTCAGATTGTACAGCGATTTGAGCAGCCTGGTCTAGTGGAAGATGGAGGGATGGAAACAGATAACCTTTAAGATCCCATCCTCAAACCATTGTGTAATTCTATGATTTCTGATTTCTTTAATGCTTCCAGTAGGCTGAGAGAGGAATCTTATGATTTTCAGTAGTGGCTAATATATCATGGTAATTTCTATGCCATTAAGTTTTTAATATTACTAAAGCAGGTTAGCCTTATAGAAAAATTATCTTCCTGGTCTTTTTAATATGATCACACAAGGACTTCACCCTTACTTTTACTAGTTTCAGTGTCTCCTACGTAAGCAGCCTTCTTGCTGCCCCTGAACAACATGCAGAATGAGCATGCAACAAGATGATAAGCTTTCACATCCAAAACACCAATTAGTTCATCTTGTAGTAAGGACTCACTGCTTGAGGCCTAGTATTATTATTTCTTTCACCTATACCAAGGTTTTTTTCAGACAGCATGAAACTCTGGAGAAGTTAAAAGATAGCAGAAGTGGCTCACTGTCAAACTTTGGAGATTTATCACAAATCTTTGAGCTCAATGAGATTTAAGATCTCATTATTACTTCTAACCTGCTTCTAGCTTCAGTCATTACTAGGCAAACACAACTACTCTTTTGCTTCATCAAATCAAGACACTAATCAGTTAATTTCTTCTTGAAAAATTAAAACTCAAACTCTTAACACCTCAAGAAACATTTATTGCAGGGAATGAAAGCCTCTTTCATAGCTTTAGAGTAAGAGAGCTGTGACATCCATAATTAAAGGGTAACACGTATCTTAGTTACTTTTCCACATTTACATTTCAGAGCTGTAGAAATCTTAAACAAAGCTGGGCTGAGTGCAAGAATAATTGTTAAGTTGTGTGTACCCAAGCGACTCACAGAGAGTCTCTCAGATGAATCACAGAATAGTTTGGGTCAGAAGGGACCTTAAAGATCATCCAGTTCCAACCCCTTGCCACAGGCAGGGACACCTTCCACTAGACCAGGATGCTCCAAGCCCCATCCTATCTGGCCTTGAACACTGCCAGGGATGGGGCAGCCACAGCTTCTCTGGGCAACCTGTGCCAGTGCATCACCATCCTCACAGGGAAGAACTTCCTATAATCTCCTCTCTGTCAGTTTAAAGCAATTCCTCCTTGCCCTGTCTCTACAGGCCCTTGTCAAAAGCCCCTCTCCATGTTCCTTTCTGGCTTCTTTAGGCACTAGAAGCTGCTGTAAGGTCTCCCTCGAGCCTTCTCTTCTCCAGGCTGAACAAGCCCAGAAATCTCAGCCTGTTGCCGTAGCACAGGTGCTTCAGCCCCCAGACCATCTTCAGGTCCTCCTCTGGACTCACTCAAACAGCTCCATGTCCTTTTTATGTTGGGTTCCAGGGCTCAGGCGAGGTCTTATCAAAGCACAGTAGAGAGGCAGAATCCCCTCTTTTGACCTGCTGGTGATGCAGCCCAGGACAGGTTGGTTTCTGGGCTGCAAGCGCACACTGAAGGCTCATGTTGAGCTTCTCATTGACCATCACCCCCAAGTCTTTCTCCTCAGGGCTGTTCTCCACTCAGTCTCCACTCAGCCTGTATTTGCGCTTGAGATTTCCCCAATCCACTTAACCCAGCCTAGGACCCTGCACTTGGCCTTCCTGAACTTCATGAAGTTTACATGGGCCTACCTCTCAACCCTGTCAATGACTTTTTATTTAACTTGTGAAACTGGAAGGTGGGTCTTGAAAGAGGCCATTCTCCTTCCCATCTCCCTTGATTATTCAGGTTCACCCCAAAGAGTTTTAAGGCTCAGGTTCAAGCAATGCAGATCTCAGCTGAAACCACACTCGTGTGTATAAAGCAGACATGACTATGCCTTTGACAAGAGCCTTATGGGTGTTATAAAAAGAATTCACACCACCTATATATGCTTTGGGCTTTTTCACTAGCCAAAGAAATTTGATACATTTCAAACACGTTGGAAAAGTCAGGAAGCAAGAGAGAAGAGGACAAGCAAAACCAGGAGCAGTGTACCACTGCATGCCATGGTGGATTCAGCAGGCCCTAGTATATTCCAAACAACAGGTAGGAGTATGCATTGCCTCTGAAACAGCAGTCATGCGTCTGGTAATCATAAACTCAACAGGGCAGATTTTCCACAACAGCATTAGGAAAAACCAGGAAAGGTGCAACTTTAAAATGTACTAAACAGGTCTGGTGTAGAGACAAAAAACTATGTGAATCCTGGAGGAAGGGGAAAGGAGAAGTATTCTGGAAAACATGGTATGTTCTCAACTCTGGGAAAGCTCCATCTTCATTTCTGAATCAGTTTGGGAACTATCTTACTAAATTAGGTGCAAACTGGTTGGATATTGATGTACCCAACTCCCTCATTCTACTAGGGTACGGAATCAAACCCAGCTGCATCAGGTGACATAATGAAAA